TATGTTCCATTTCAGGCCCTTTTTCATTCTCACCTGACTGAATTTCTCACGTTTTGTCAGTTGTTGCTTCTGCTCAAAAAAATCCAGCAAAGTAACTCACCCAGATTGCATCAACATGGTTCAGCTCATGGCTCAGAGATGACTTCCCAAGCACAGTAAATATGTCTGTGCAGCAGTTGATAGGCTGGCATGAAGTTTAGGAGGACATCCTGCTCCTAAACCTGTCCACCTTCTGTCCATGTGCTGACTTGCCAGTATGGGCACTGTGAGAGCTCCATCTGAGAGTGGAGGGAGAGACAAATTGTTTAAATGAACCATTAAAGACAGTTCCTTTAAGATGGGATTGTGGTGCATTGACAGGGTGGTGGCAAGGAAGCATACGTTAGGTGTTACTGTTCTTATCTGTGGTTAGTGTGGTTGTCATCAAGTTCTGTTTTATCTTAACTTTTCTGAGATGCCAGTAAGCAATAATATCCAACTTCTTTGCTGTCACTGGATTCACACCCACGCCAACTTCACTGCCACCCTAAAACACCACAGTCTCAGTTAAAATATGTTTCTGTAAGAACTCAGTGATTAAAAAAAAAAGTACCTTCCCTAAAAATGAGATGTCATAGCTTGTTTCTAGCATTAAGTGAAGTTTTCAATTTGATTGGCACATAAGCATAAGAAGAAAACAAAATTCAGATTCAGTCTTATGTGAATACTTCATTATTCGAAGCTGTTGTGGTCTGGAGAGATAAGCACAGAGAGTGCAGGTAATGAAAACAAATTTTATAAATATCGTTGCAGTTGAAACATATTGTCATCACAGTCTCGTTGATTCAGTATGTGTTTAAACTGGGGCAAACTCCTTGCTGACTTACACTTGGAGTTTTGAGGTTTGCAGATGGTGTGAATCAGAGACTGCAACCAGTATTTTTATAGACCTTTAGTTTTATTAGGTGGAAAACGCCCACAAGTACACTTCTAGTACACTTCTATCAACAGGAAAAAGCATAGCTAGGGCAGTGGCAGAACAAACTTCCTGCAATGATTTGCAATGTGGATTCACAGGGAATTCCTCAAGGAAGAAGGTAGTGCAATATCCATTGTCCAGTCAACCCCAGCCTTTTTCTGCAGTAATTTTAAAAATTATTGCTAAACAGGATGTGCCCTTTTATTTTTTCTGATATAGATTTGCAAGTAAGAAGATAACTTGGTGGTTTAGTTTTTTGAGTTTCTAAATAAATAGCAGATGGTCCTTATTCTCTGTCTATGAAGTCAAGGTACAACATTACTGTTTACTAATAGAAATAAATTTCTCCTCTGTGTAAGATCAGTCCCTGGCACATGTTTCCAAAATGCTGAGTGCTTAGCTATTTGTTCAGCTTTATGACTAGAGACTGATCATTTTTCTTTGGTACACTCTGCTTACACTGTGTTGCCTTTCAAGAGATGGAGTTGCTGATGTCCATGTGTGTGTGTTTTGCAGTCTTAATTGTCACCCTGGATCAAATTAGACTGGATAACTTAAAAGATACTGAACACTTTATAAAATACCTTCATTTACAAAGGTGAAATCATGACTATTCATGTGGTTCATGAAGTCCCCTGACTGGGATCTGTTACATTCTTTGCCTCGAAATGAACTGCTCTCTCAAGATACTGGTTAAGCGTGGCAGTTTCTGAGGTGAAACAAATCCTGAGCATATCCAGGTGCTGTTCCAGAGCATTCAGCAGGCTGTTGATGTATGGGAAGCAGTAGCTGTGCTTCATCCACCTGAAATGTAAACAGGCAGCAGCTCGTTTCTCTAGTCTGTGGTCAGAACAGTGCACCTCCCGTGAAAGCATTGGGAAACACTTCATGGAGGCAAGTGGTTTGTTATTTTTGGATGGAAAAATGGCAACTCCAGCCACACAACGTCCCAGGGCATTGAACTGCTGCAGAGAGTGAGTTATAATTGAAAGAGGAAGACATTTCCTAATTAATTATGTAAGCCCCACAGCAGTACAGCTCAGCACAGCCGTATTTTTAGTAATATGATCTGATTTGTTGCACAAAGTGTATTGTGAGCAGCCAAAAATCATAAGAAGCTACAGCTTTGTTTCTGTTGTTTCTCAGTTGTGGTTTTTGAATTAGGACACCCAACATCGTGAGATTAAACCAAACCAAAACAACACAAAACCAAAAACCCACCCAAGCAACCAACTAACCAAAAAAAAAACCAGGAAAAAACATGCCCCCCCAACATTTTGGGAGTTTATATTCCCTGTAATAGTGAACCTGCCTAATGTTACACTTTCAGGCTTTTCACTCTGCCTGAGAAATAAGAAATAGGAAATAAGAATGTGTTTGTTCATAATTTAATTTAATGTCATCACTAAATTTTTATTTCTGGAGATTTAACAACGTAAGACCTATTATGGAACTTCTTCGAAGTAAAATGATAAGAATTGAGGAGGATCTATTTTTTTCATCTCCTTTCCAGAGAGACACTAAAACTTTTATTGAAGAAAATTTCCTCAAATCATATGTGCCTGATACCAGACCTCAGCCTCTCTTGGGTGTAGCAGGAATGTCTCTTAACATTGTCATAATTTGCAGACGTTTGAAAAGGTTGTGGGATTATTGTATTTGCACTTACTGGTTCCATGAAAACGATGTGCTTACTACCTGTCAGATCTGTGTCTAGGCACTTAGAGACAATGCAAGGCTAACATAAATTGTGTGCCAACAAATAAAGAGTAGGATTTGGACCAGAGAGTTGAGAGTGTTGGTCAAATAAATAAATAAATAACATAAATAAATAGAGAAAGAAAAAAAAATTAGGAAATCTAAATGGGTAGTATATTTGAGGCTAATGTCTTTTTCCAAACTGTCATTTAGGATTTCTTCAAGGCTTACCTGCATTAGTTAAAGCTAGCTCAACAGAGCCCTGCCTTAACAGCTCTGTCTTTCAGAGCAGCCAAGTGAGGCTTTGCTGAACTTCTTGGAAGGGATCTGTCTTATGATTTCAGTATTCATGTTCCCCATGTTGTTGTCTCAGACAGTCTTTCCTCACAGCATGAGTTGGATCTTTTACTGGCTGACATTTCATGATAATTTCAAACTCCTGGCTACTCTTACTGACTACCAGAAGGAAGATTCATCTCTACATTTACAATGGAAAAATAGCTGTAACCACTGTACATTAATAAAAATAACTGACACTCAAAGCTCATAACAGTTTTCTTTCTTAAAATTACATCTGTAAGTACCAGTGCAGTGGAGTAAAGAGAATTTAAGGGGATCCTAAAGTAAATCAGTGGCATAGCTATGAGAGACAGATGTCTTACCTGTTACAGGGCCATCTTTCCCCCTTTCTGTCAGTGCTGTCAGTGCTGATGTTGATATCCAGTTACAGAGGTACCCAATTACATGTGTGTCTGACTCCCATGGTTCTAACCCCTTAGCAGTTGGTCCAGCTTAAGACTGTGAAGACCTGTTCAAGAAGTATTAAATACAGAGGTGTCATGAGCTTTATCCTTCCCAAATGCACTCCAAACCTCTAACAGCTTGTTATTTGCTGTTTTACCATTGCAGACCTAATTCCTAACTTGCAGAGCTGCTGCATCCATGGGGAGAAACCCTTCACTTACAATCGTGTTTTATAGTTCCCTTTGTGGTTTGTTCTGCCACTTTGACTTGTCATAGTAGAATAAATTGAATTCTGTAGAGTGCTCTTGTAAAATGCCACACTTTTGATTTTTAAATGTGCTTCAGTGTGATGAATGCAGCATTAGAGTGGGATATGGAGTAGTGCTTAAATTTGTGGATTGTAGCTCTAGGTTTTATTCTCAAACCTCTAGCCAGATTATTATATAATTGACGGATAGGCCATTTTCAGGATTTCTGCTCCTGTGTTCCGTATCTGTAAAATGAATGTGATTTACCTATGCAGCAGGTCTGTGTTGATACCCAGTTGGTTCTTTTTTGAACAGCTAGGCAGCAGGCTGCTATGGCATGTCATAGAATGCCTGTTGCACTCATATATTAATTACCCAAGTGCTGCCTTATACTTACATCATCTTTTTATTGAGAACTGAGACTTTGGGTTGTAAATTATCTAAAAAGGACTCATTGTTTTAACATCTACTTATGTAGTGCCTGTCATAGTGAGCTTTCCTTCCTTGGGTGAAGCAAGAAAGAAGCAGAAGAAAAGGTATCACTAGAATACAAACATAAAGCTAAGAATGTGCTTTGAGATCTTTCAGTGAAATATGATGAGGATTACTACAGCTGTTTTCTTTCCAAGGAAACACTTTCAAACATTATTATTTTTATAGGCACTTTTATCTGCCCTGCTCTAAAAGGGCAGTAATTCAAGTGTGTCTCAATCCATCTGTTAATGGAGGAAACTGAAGGACTTGAGCAAAAAACATCATTAATGAGATCTGAAGTAAGGTTCTAAAACCTGCCAGAATTTTGGAAGGACATATTTGCTCTAGAATGGTTACCATTTGAGGAGTTTGTCTGTTAATGTATAGCAGCTTCATAACAGTAAAGCTGATACTAATTCAGAATTAATATCTGAAGTAGGTTTAATAGCTAATAAAAATGGGCTGTTTATGTATTAAATCTGGAGCAGCATAGCTGATCCACCTCTGTGTTTTGGGTAACTAATGACCTTCTCCTTCATATTTGGAGAGGTATTTGTTTGTGAAATAGTTTTATGCCGTATGGAAATTTGAGAAAAGAATTTTAGCTGATATGAGGGAAGAAATATGGAAAGTAACACCGCTGAAAAGGCTATAGATATGATTCTACAGAGTGACAGATTAATGAGGTCTAGGTTTCATATGTAGGAGTATCCCATGTCTTGTTTTAACTACTTAGTTCTGAAGGGAGTGTGTCGGAGAAGCTATTTTTTCTGGAAAGTGAGGAAGGGAGGCAATGCATCTACCTAGTCTCTAAAGGAAAATAAGTGTTTGAATGAGCATTCATTACAGTATTTGAAAAAAAAATTAATGTTTTTCAGATAATTGCCTTCGATGAACTTCGGACAGACTTCAAGAGCCCAGTCGATCAGTGCAACCCAGCCCACGCAGTGAGTACAACCAGTGGTTTGCTAAGCAGTGCCTGCTCAGGAAAGGGGCATGCACTGAGCTGTCAGGGAAGGATGAGGGAAATTAAGATAGAGTCTCTTTGTGAAGTCAAGTGTGGTTTGGAAAATTGACTTACTGGGCCAGTCATGGGAAGCCAGATGGTGACTTTTTATGCTAATAGCCTTCCTTTTTGCTGAAGGAGGCAGGAAAATAACTTGGAATTTCAAAAGCTGAGGCATATATAATGTGATGCTAATGCTTTCTTCTTTACCTTTTTATGCTGTGGCACAAGTTTTCCCTTTTGAAATAATTTGCCTTCTCTGTGTTCAAGCATGGGATGACCACATTCTCCCACACTGTCTGTATCAATGAGCCAAAAGCTTGAGTGGATTTGGTGAGAGGCACATTCATGGACCTCTCTCTCCAATGGGAGGGTTCTAAATGCTCCCATGTTTTAGGAGTGAACGTCACATTCTGCTGCTTCTGCTATGGAAAAGTTTAAATATCACCCTGGGACTGTAAACCCACTTTTAACTAATGAACCAAAAATGCAGCCTAGATATCTCAAGAAGTATTTCAAAGTTCCTCTGTTAATTAAAGCTGTAATCTAGAGTGAGTTAGCTGACTACAGCTAAATATGTGTCAGTCTGTACTACCAGAACTGAGAGCAGAACTTGGCTCCCCATCATCTCACTGGGAATTACAATGATTATGACAGGTGCTGTATTTGATCTCTACAGAGTATCAATTTATTGAATTGCCTGCAAATGATAACCAGATTCACTACTTTGCCATTTTACCCTGTTTCGTAACTCAGCAGAGGATTTGTGGTACTGCTTAGACCACTGATGATTTTAAGCATAAACTTTACATGAATCTTAGAATAAGAAGGCTTTTTTTACAGTTCACTAACACATAATCAAAACATGAGAATAGAAGAAATTATATGAAGAAATCCAATAGAGAACTTCAGTGGGTATAATCTGGTTTTTAATTTACTGGAAGTAATCTGATTTTGAATTCACTTTATCAGTTTTTACTTCCCATCTTGGGAACTGCACACAAAAAAATGTGTATTTATTTGTACCAGGTATTTCTTATATTGTTGCAGTTTGTGTGGCTTCTCGAGGGTCTCTCAAGGCTGCTCTGTGAAGGTTTCCAGGGCTGAAATCACCCCCTCCCCCCGCTGCCTCGTGGCAGGGACAGGCAGTGGAGGCGCCTCTGCCAGGAGAGAGAGAACACGCAGCACACAGGAAGGCCAGCAGCAAAGAGAGAGCTTTATTCAAAAATCCCCCAGCTTATATGGGCTGGTGGGGAAAAGAGGGGATTGGTCATTTAGATAGCCAATACAAGGAGACAATATAATAACTATGGCAACACAGGAACCAATGATAGACAAGTGAGTTATCAGCTTCAAACCCCTGCATTATATATTTGTTGCTTGTGCCCATATCCCATTTAGTGGGGTAGTTTTCTTTATTGCACTATAAGAGTGTCTGATGTTTACCCATGTGTCTTCCACAATGTTTTCATGACAGAGGGTAGGGCCTTTTTGACGAGAGGGGGCTGAATTAAAGAGAAATCAGAGACAAAAACAAGGGCAGTACTGAGAATTTAATTCAAATTTCCTGGTTTGCCCTCTATTACCTATAGTTCAGAGACAAAATTCCTGCTTTTGCAAGGCCAGCTGTAGTTCGGAATCTATTTAAAGGGAACTGAGAGGTCTATCTTTCCCTCTCCACTCACCTCCTTCAAAAGGCAGGAGAGCTTTCTGCAGCTTCACAGGCATGTCCACACACATCCATTCTCGTGTTTGCAACTGTGAGTCTAACATTTCTGAATCCGTTTTAGCTCAGACACACCAAAAAGAGGCATGGTATTTTTCTGGTGCCTATCAAGCTACTACTGCCTCACTGTCTTTCCAGCATGATACCTTTTTTGAAAAAGGCTTAAACTCGGGGACGGGAAAGCAAAAGAAATATTTCTTTGGAGAACAGAAATAAAACTCAAACTTGTGGCAAATTTAAAGCATTTGAAAAGCAGAAAACTTAGGAAGAGTTGGCTTCTCACATTGGTATAGTACAAAAAAATTGTTTGGAATATTTTTCCCATGTATAAGTGAAAATATTATCAGATAGTCTTCTGAGGACAACAAAACCAATCTACCTTCTGCAGTGTGACCAACAGTAGAATGTTCCACAATAACTCCAGTGATGGAGTTACGGGGTTATGAAGTGAAATTTGATTGTACTGGTGAGTTTTGCATTATGAGCCATTTAAAAAAAACAAACCTGTCTTTGATTTGTTTTCTTTCTGTGAGTTGAGCTTTAAGCATCTTTCAAGTCACAGTGCTTAATTGCAGTGATTTTCAGTATTTATGAACGCATCTGTCATTTAAAGTGGCATTTCTAGGACAGTTCAAATATTTTTCACTAGTGGGTTAAATTCTAATATCATATGTTGAGGTGCCATCTTGGTGATAGAGGAAGAGCTGCCTTACAAACTTCATAGCTGTTTTTGCCATTCAGAATTATCTTGAAGCCAGATGTGGGGTACCTTAAAATACAAGACCAAGTCTCTGTGGTATAGACTGGCAAAATAGAGCCACAAAGGCTGACTTAAAAAATGTTTGCAGCCTCTGGCTCAAGGCTAACAGACTTGAATCCCCAGCTGGTATTGTTACACCCAGTAACAGATGAAAAAATAACTTATTGGGGCTTTGAAATGGATAAATCACTTGGCTTGCTAGCAGTAGGTAAGAAGTAAATGCTGTCATTTCAGATTAACAACATATATTGCTTCACTGTGGCCATTAATTAAAACATTGACCCTTGTAATTGTAATATATTGTCTTAATTCATAATACCAGCTAATCTTCTGCCCTTCCCCCCCCCTTTTCCTTGACAGAGAGAACGGCTGAGAAATATTGAGCGGATTTGCTTCCTCCTGCGAAAGGTGAGCGTAAACTAACCTAGGATTTGTGAAGTTTGGGAGAGTTTAGTCCATCCAGTGGTGACATGCATTTATTTTCTCTTTGATCCTCACACTCAGTTGATGAAAGGCTGGATTCTACTGAGAAGTGAAAGTCATGATGACTTTGTAAGGACAGAGTAAGACAAATTATAAAAGGTTGACATAATAGGGGATGTCTGGATAAGAACTGAACTTCAGAACATCAGCCCATTCATTCCAGAACAAGCTTTTTGAAAGTGGTGAATAGTTTTGCAGTTGCAGCTTGAAGTTCTTTTTTATAGTCCTGTAAAGCTGCTGATACTGTTGTAGTACAGACTCTAGAAATACCCTTTTTTTGAACAGCGGCTTACTATTTAATAAACTAAACATTTTTATTAGTTACACATTTAATGTTTAAGGTTTCTAGGTGATGGAATAGAAAAGTTGATACACTATGTATTTTATCTTGACACAAGTGAGATGCTGAGTGCCTCAGTTTCTGAGGGATTTCAAGGAGCTGATAATTTGTGGGTTACTTATCTGTGGCTTCAAAAACATTTTAATTAACAATCTTTGTTCTCCTGACTCTGTTCTATTAAAGTAAAAATAATCATAGTTCTAAACTATTTTATTCTGTAAATTCAAGTTTCTATACATTGTGTTCTGCGGAGTAGTAATGGAGACACCTAAATTATTCTGCATTTTTGCTTAAAAAGGTCATCACTGAAGTGTGGACTGCTGCCTGCATCCTAATCAAGCTAAGAACTAAACTGGTTTTAAGGTACTTAGAGATTTTAGGAAACCCAGTGGTAGGAATTGGGGTGATCCAAAGGCACAACTGTGACTCCAGGCAGAATCTTTGAGCTGTCATTCTCTAATCAGTCAGCACCTGAGTCACATCTGTTTGGCACCATTATGAGTTTGTGACTGTTAGGAGCCACATTTGAATACTTACTGAGCCTGTTTATGACCCTTGGGATATGAAAATAAGAGAAAATACTTATCACCAATAGCTTTCCATTTTATCAAACAGGCAGCCAGCCAATTTCAAGCTGTGCCCCAGTTTCCTGGACATAAAGCAACTGTTGAGTGGTAATGTATTAATATATGTGAGCCCCATGGGAATGCCTTGCCTGCATCAGTGTTTAATTTTTATTGAGCCTCAGCCTTCTTGTGGAGAGCAAAATAGAGCATTTTGGCTAATTGCAGACTCTGTTTTCATAAGGGATTGCCTTGCTTCTGGTTCACTTAAATAGTTTGTTAATTCAGCCTCTTTTTCAAAGTTCTTTGGGGACAGATTTGTTTTAATTGAGAGATTATACGCAAGAAGAGGAAGGTGCAGTAACTACAGAGATTTGTAGTCTGCAAATCTGACAATCACTAAAAATAGCTGTAGTTTATGTCGTATAGAGGAGTTGTTATTGAGAAAAACTCCAGAAAAACAATAAAGAATTGAGTGCCAGCTATATTGATACATGACAATAGCAGGCTGCTTCCAACAAGCACTAAATATATCCCTCAATATAACATTGTGTGGCTTCAGGGTCTGTTTCTCTTTCTATGAAACAACAGCATACCCGTTTTCCTATGGCTTGAAGACAGGCAATTCTTTCAAGGGGCTTTGACATCAGAACTTAATTCTTAAGATCTGATGTAAATCTGTTCTTTAAAAGGTTATAGGTGGGCTAAAAAAGTATGCTTAATTTCATTATATGCTGGTTTTACAAGGGGTTCTTGGAAATTATTAACCGGCCATACAATATGTCATATAAATCTGATCCCAGTGGGCGAAGACTTTCTTGAGGATGGATTTTCGTTTTTATCTCCAAAATACTTGAAAAAGTTTATTGACAAACTGTGACCAGGTATGTGATATTTCACCAGATATTATATAACTTTTTTCCACTTCTCAAAATAGAATGGAGGATGTTCTACAGCCAGGCATTTTCTGATGTTTGGTTTGGGGAAAATGTTTCTATATCATTAAAACAAGTAGGGATTGTGTGAAGCAGATATATATGATGCTGGCATGTGCACATGCGTGCACATGGGGGTCCTTGTTTTTATGGTGCTATAGAATTAGATAAGCCTAAGTTTTCTGATTACTGGAGAATGATTATGTATGAAGAAACTATGAACTTTGTATAGCCATGGTCAAATCTCTTCTATTCTGAAATAAATGAGAGGAAGGCTTATTTTCTGAAACCAGCCCAAAGTGAAGTTCTCTCAGAATACAGGTATCTCATTTTATTCAGTGGTGTGTGTTGGGGGCTTAACAGCATAAATTTGTGTTCCTGTGCTGTAAATTGTTGAATATTCCATCATGTGGATGTTGGTTGTCTTATAAGTGTTAGATGGTTCACACAAGACACACACTGGTATTAGCAGATGCTGTGCAGCCTCTGTGCTATTCTTTTTTTTTCCTAAATTGCCTTTGTTTCTCTCAGGATGTGATTACAATGCTGTACAGAGGTACACAAACTGAAGCAGTGCAGTGTAAGAGCAGCACAGGCTTCTTGGGCTCATCAGCCTTGCTGAAGACTGTGATTGGTTTGGTGTGCCTATGAAGTCTACCGTGATTTTTAGGATTTAATATTTTGGTGGGGCTGCCAAAATATATTCAGATAATGATGACAGCAATAATATATAATTGTAATTGCAGTTGTATTTCAAGAAGTATGTCTACAAGATTGATTCCTGATGGAGATACTTATTTTAGCACTAAGGACAATTAGGAATTACCTGGATTGAAGCACCATATATTTCATCAATCAACCACTGTAATATTATTACTTTAACTTTGAGGAATTTTAAATTAAATTTTGATTATGTTATGCACCATAATTTTTGAATTAATTTGATAAATCCTTACTAAGGAGAAGAATTGATTGAACTTGCTTCTTGCTCAGCGAAGACATTGGAGATTTCAGTTTGCTCATGCCAAACACTGCTGAGCAATATAAGTGATCCTTCTCCAATTATCAGCAAATATTTGTTTTTAAACTCCATTAAGCTAAAGTAAGAGTGATTTTTGAGCATCAGAAGTGGAACTAGAACTTAATTCGGAGGAAGTCGAGGTAAATAAAAGGCAGACTTTCACTTATTTTCCTACTGTAGTGGAGCATTTTACTTAAGTTATGCCCAAAATTCCTAAAACTGCAAGTGCAAGAAAATATTGTATTTGAGCTCAGTTCTTTTTCTTGATTTTATTTAGGGATTTTTGCATTTTTTTGTAATCCTGAAGGGATGACTGGAAGAGAGCAGATTCAGCAAGAAATGTAGCCACAGGCAAGGTGACATTATTCTCAAAGATGTTCCAGATGAACTTGAACTGTCGTGAAAAATACAAACAAATACACAGACAAAAACCCTGCAGGGGCAACGTTTGAATAACCAAACTTGGCCAGTTCAGCACTCCAGTGGTAGCAGTAGCATAGTAGATACTGAATCAGGAGCTGGGGTGTTTAAAACATAACAAAACAAGCCAAACCTGAACAATTCTTCACCTAATCTTTTTTGAAGCAAGTTTTAATGTTTTAGTTAGGAAGCTGGGGGGTGCCAGTGCTTAGTTTGGTCTAGTACCTGTGTCACTGTGGTTTCCAGTGGAGCTGGATTTGCAGTAGTAACGGTGGAAATTTATTTTTTACTCATTAGTTGTGGAAAAGTGAAAACCACGTGTATGTGTGCAAGTAACAGCATTTCAGAGACACAAGTAATCAGAAGCTTGAAGAGTTATGGGTTAACACCACAGGTTCAGCTGTAGACAGAGCGTTCTAAGGATGAAAATTAGGCTTGATCCTGGGTCTGTTTCATGCATGTTTGTCAGCATAGAGTGGAAACCTAGATCTCAAACCTTGGAAAAACTCTCACAATATATTCAGTGAAATACTACTGAGCTCACTGGATCAGCTAACAGGGAACAAGTTGGCTTTTAGGCTTTTCCTTAATAGCAGAAGAAAAGAATGTCATCTGAGTACAGAGTCTCTTTTTGTTTGTGTGTAGCTAAATATTATGCAAAATCAGCACTGTTAAAAAGTAGCCCTATCTTGTTTATTCTTATC